TGGCACCTGTACGAGCCACCGCACGTTGTTGGAGTAGACCTGGTGTCTGACGGCCCACTTGGCCAGCTTGTCCCACTCGTTTCTGGAGCGGCCGTAGATGGACAGCCGGAGCTCCACGTTCTGGTACTTGCTCTCCTCCAGGTCCGCCATCACTTCCTGAGAAGCAGTGAGGGGAAAATAGCCACCAGAGGGCGACAGCGCTTTAAAAAATACACAGGCAGGATTTCATAGGAAGTGGTGAAAGAGGTTGCGTATGCTTTGAAATGAGCACCTTTATAATGTGACCGAAGTACTTCCCCTCGATGTAGTTGTCGGTTTTGATGAAGATCTCTCTCAGGATGGATTCACCGATGGGATTATATTTAGCGTTGAATTTGTCAAACCGATGGAAGGTGTTGCGGTCCTGCAGACGGAAAACAGTTGAAACGTTTCTTTGCACCTCGTGGTTCTTGTTTATCCATTTGTAATGCTGTGTTCCTTACGGCATGCATGTCCAGAGTGTCCACACTAAGGTCAAAGGCGGTCAGGTTCATGCTCTCGAACACCTCCATGAGTGTCTGACCTTTGCCTTTCTCCACATGCACAATCTCTTTAGGATATTTCTTCATGGCTCTTTTGATGAATCGAAGAAGATGCTTCTGGTTCATACAAGATGAAGCGTGAATGTGAGTGTCTACCTGCAAAACAAACAAACAAACAAACGGGGGGGAAAAATATATTTTCTTTTTCTGGGTTACCCACAAATGATTATGATGGAACGAGGCACAAGAAGGTGTGATTTTTACCTTGCGAATATTGTAAAAGTCTCTGTGGGGAACCTTTTTCTGTGCTGCAAGCTCCTTCATCTCATTCAGCAGGATGTGCATCTGGAATTTGGAGCTGAGATACTGAAGCCGACGATAGCAAAACGACTTTCTGTTGGGAAGGGAGACATTTCACCACACTATTTGGTTTTAAACTGATTTCAAACAATCTGCGCCTTGCAAAAGTAATCATAACCCTGTGACCTTTTCGCTCCAGACGATGATTATGAGCTTTATGTTGGCTTATCCTATTGAATCCCAATAAACGTTTGAGGCCTAGGGAAACTTTTGCAAGGCTGTGTTTTCTACAAAGTAGTGTTCAATATTAGGAACTAGAGCTTACACGGGTCCATTAATAATGAGGGCCATCATGACGTTCATATCAGCGATGTACTCCTGCAGGTCTGGGTATGGCAGGTCCAGCTCTGTGCTCCTGTTTGCGACATCACAGTCAAACAAGTCTGGCTGCTGCCAAGGGAACACGTGAACAGAGTCTAAAAACAGAAAACTCCTCTAACCGAGGGTGAAGCACCAAGAGATTTGTCCCCAATATCTTACTTTTCCATAACGTCCCTGCTGGTGTACACGTGCATGACGCCGTTCACCATCTTACAGCCGTAACCCACATCGGGGGCCATGCTGGCGGGGTCCTGGTTCTCGTACGGGTGCGTGTCAGAAGCAGGTGGGTGCACCGTGGCATCTGTGAGGGGGCAGAAATCCATGCTCGGTCTGAGCTCAGCGGCCCACACACTGCGGCAGCATGTTCAGGGGGGTGTAACAGATTGTAGAGCTTTAAATCTGTGGGGGTGCCAGGGTGTACTCCACTGAGAGAGTACTACTGCTGTCGCTTAGCATTTTACAGTCTGATCCAGAAAAAACTGGCATCACATATTCACATTCTTTAATGTTAAGCAAATAAAATATGAAAAAGAAGAAAGACTAAAAAATAATTTGCAGTAACCTGTTTAATTTCTATTATTTCTTTTTTAGCGTCTCACTCCAGAAAGGTAGTAATTTCTTTAACTGGTCAGCTGGTGGAGTCGAAAATAGCAGAGTTGAACAAAGGGGCACATTTGTTGTTTGAAGCGTGCTAAATGAGTTGCTAGGCACACATGCAAATGACGCTCGTGGTGATGTCTTTAACCAAAAGGACAAAAGCTTCGGCAGCAAGTGAGACTTTTCAAAGAGCTCACCAGTAGCATCTGCTGTTGGATGAAACCAGTCCCTCTGCTGTGGACATCAGAGATTTTGTCCATGCGTAAAAATCTATACTACAGTGAACTGTTTGGTGAACGGCAACCAAACAACTGGCTGCACATTTGTTTCTGTTTACTGAATGCGTTTTGGACATTTGTTTGAGTCTAGAACCACTAGGACAATAGCAGAGGTTTGAAGCTGGAAACTTCCAGATAATTCTCTCCAAACTTCTCTGCATATTTCTTTTAGGAGAGCAGTAACTTCTCACAGTTAATATCTGAGTTAACGTCTCTGTTTCATAGCTCTGGCTCATTGCTGCATGTGCCGACCTGCGGTGACACTGGTCTCGGTGGTCTCTGCCAGCTCCTCCTCCTCCTCGTAGATGTCCAAGTAGAGCGGTCTCTCGCTCAGCTCCTGCAGGTAGCGAGCCGTGGTCCTGTAGAAGCTCTGCAGCGACAGACCCATGTACTTTTGTCTGATGAACAGAGCCTTCACCACACATTTGGCAGCGTCCAGCAGATCTGTGAAGGGAACCTTCAGGGAAAAGCAACAGATTAAAAAAAAAGGTGCAAAGATAGAGTACGTCTTCACGGTGGAGGAGGCGTTACATTAACAGTGGAGAAACGCAGAAAGTTTTATCCGACTTCTCCGACTCACCCCACATTTCTCCTCTCCGGAAATAGTGACTCTCTGGTACTCTCTCTCTGGGACCACGTCTCTCTCCTGCTGATTAGGAGCCTGGCTCTGCTCCTTCATGAATCTGATGACAGGTCCACAAGTCCATGAAAATGTGACAACAATAATCATTTCATAAAATCTTTGCTGACTCACTCCAGGTCTGTGGCACTGTCCGTCTTCATGAACTCTTGTTTGGCTCGGAGGAGGATGTCTGGTTCGAACCTGAGCACAGAGGCGCTAAACTCACTTTGGGATCTCTGATTTGCAAACAAAACCACCTGAGTCGCTGCATTAGTTGCACATTTCTGTACTTTCTGCCACTTACTTGACATCCTGACTTATCTGGCGCTCAAGGCGATGGCGTTTCTCCTCCAGCTGTTCGATGGGGCTGTCCTCTGGAAACTCATAGGGGGCGCTCCGCATCTCACTCTCCGCCAGGCTGCGGGAGAACAGCTCCTTCACACAGAAGCAGAAACGGTAAGTTAAGCTGACGTATTAGCTTAAAAGACATATATTCACTTCAGGGGAGCTCAGTGGGAGAGTTTGGACCTCAGCTATCTCCTTGTATTTCCCGTCCATGGAGGTGCGCAGGTCGATGGATTGTTTCAGGGCCACTGGGATCCCGGGCAAGGAATGCTGGGAAGTGAGGAGTCGGCGAGGGGCACGAAGTTCAACTGCAGAGGAAGAGAGAGGCAAAGTGGTGTATTAGAAACTAGTGTGACACTTGGAAATTATTTTTTGTTAAGATGTTGGCTGAAGCTGGTAAAAGAGCATCAATATCCACGGCGAAACAAATTCTGTATGAAGTTGGGCTGCGAGGCTGCGAGGCTGCGAGGCTGCGAGGCTGCGAGGCCACTCAGCGATGAAGAAGCCATCACTCTAAAAAGCAACATAAAGGACTGTTTGCACATGGACCTTCCTTTATTTCTGAAGACATGTTCTGTGGTCTTATCAAGATAAAATGTAATTGTTTGGACATAATGACCATCGGTAAAATCAAAGGAAAAAATGGGGATGCTTGCAAATCTGAGGACAACGTCCCATCTAGAAATTTAGGTGGTGGCAACAAACTGTTGTAAGTTGTTTGACACGAGTCGTTTAAATATTTCCATGAAATACTGAGGAAATATTCTAAAGTTGAATAAGAGGAAAATGAAAAATGCACCCCTCATTATTCTTGCATTTAGGGAATATAATTCGTTTTGGTATTCAAGCCAACTACAATCAGTAAAAATTTAGCCTGATTTCATGGCAAGAAAAGGGAATGTGTGATTTTATTATTATTTTTTTTTACAGTGCATTTTCAAAGAAACAAATCTAAAACCATTTTTGCCTTAGGTTTACAGTTTAAGCTAAAGACTATTATTTTTGAAGGTTTTTTTTGCTATGCACTGATGCCTAAGTTTGTTGTCCCATATGTAACAATTTACTTCTAGCTGCCTTCTCGACTGCTTCAACATGCATGTTTATTTTTTCACATTCCCCGATTCTGTGACATATGAGCAAATTTCTCCACAGTGAGCCAAAGGCTGCTTGAGAATGTGATAGTATTTGTTTTGTAGCTAAGTTCATGTTAGTAAGGCTTTACACTTTACACTGGTCAAAGATTTGACCTCTTTACAGTCTCGTGTGCCAGATTTTGGACCAGACTGTTCTGTTCTTGCACTCAGGCTGTCATTATTCCTTAATCATTTTCACTTAAACTTTTGACAATCAAAAAGACTGTGTGGGCTTCCTCTGCTGGTCAGATCTCTTTGAACAATTAGTGACACTGCAGCTTTTTATAATCCTATATAAAACCTGGAGCCTAAAAAGCAGAAGAAGAAGAGGAAGAAAGATTATTGCTGAAGAAGCTCAGATCTAATTTACACTTCACTCAGTGAGCAGTGACTAAAACAAGTCCGCTCGGTGGGTTCCCACAGTGCAGTGGAGCTCAGCGCCTATTTGTGCCTCCGTACACAATGAGCCATTTAGGTGAAGAGCCATCAGAGCAGGAGCACACAGGCCATTATCGCTCTGCAGGACTCAGTCCTACACAGACTCAGCTGTCACAGACAGATGAGGAGGCACTCAGAACGTGAGAATCCTCGTGACAAGGACGGAAGTGAGTGAATGCATCTAATAAGCAGAAAGAAGGTATTTTATGATTAAGACATAAACAAAAAGAGAAGTGTTTCTGTAGTTTTTAGACAGATATCCATCTTTAACTCGAAACTACCTGTCACTGAAATATTCATCGTCATGTTGAATATTTCATTTCATGCATGGCAGAGTATCAGTGGGGCTGATGTCCCTCGGTATTTATAGACCATGCTCAGAAAGAGGTCAGAGAGGATGCACTGCATGTTACAGTCTGACCTCTTGGACAGCAGCTCAGACAAAACGCACACATAACCCGACAAGAAAACTTTCTATTAAACCAGGAGCATCCGCCACAATCTTCAAGCTTTTTAAAACTACTTATTTTAGAATTATTAAATTGGCATTTCTTTTCTTTTTATTTTTGAACACCTCTTGTCTTTATATAAGTCTAAACACTTACAGAGTTGCAGAAAAAAAGTAGTTGTTAAAAACTAATAGGCCAGCCCTCAATCCACCACACATTTCATCGCACTCAGCCTCACACTGTCCAATCAACACATCCCACTCAACACAGAGAACAAGTTTGCTGGGACCACATGGCTGCAATGTCAAAACATAGACTGAATCTGAAGCTCTGAGGAACAATGAGAGGAACACACACGTCTGCTGCACAGAAAAATCCAACTCGGAGTCGACGTTTGCAGGAAAACTGTACGCTGAGTAAGCAAGAGACATTTACCATAACTCTTTCTTTCAGCAATTTTAATGAGAAAAATTCTGGATAATTGTTGGAAAAAGTAAATATATATATATATATATATATATATATATATATATATATATATATATATATATATATATATATATATATATATATATATATATATATATATATA